GTATTTAATGCCAATGAACTGTGCACCTAAAAATGGTTTAAATTTTAAACCATATTATCTATAAATTATATGTTTCATATAATTTACCACAATAAAAAATTGTTACCCTCATGGAGCTCATAATCTAGGAGAGAAAGATAATAAGCAAATTAAAATGTAAAAATTGTTTAAGTAGATGAGCTTTTTTTTTATTGTGGATCAGTTTTTGGTTTGCTAACACTTTAAAGATAAGAAACTCAAGGACAGAGAGGAAAAGAAACACAATCTCCATAAAACTCAGTCTGAATCCTGAGCCAATGCTCTTTCTATTGAATTATACTTCTTTTTGAGTTATTTCTATTGCCTCTGTTTTATTTGAGCCATTCATTCATGTACTAGAAAGAGAATAGACTGTGGCATCTGGGTTCAAATTCCAATTCAGCTGTTTCCTGGAAGTTTGATCTTGAGATTTCCTCTTCAGTAAGATGGAGATAACAAAGCCTACTTCATAAAGATGAAATGTAATTGGTTACACTTACATCTGTGTACAAAGTAAGGAGTCAATGAAAACTAGTTCCTTTCCTAAATCTCTCAAAATGGCTTCTCTGAGTTTGTTGTTTATTTATAAGCTATGTTCAATGTGTAAATACACACAGTCTAGCAGTTTCAGCAAACATATTCATGTGTTTGAGCTTTTATAAATCATTGTAGAAATACAGTTTCTACAATGCTCAGTTGAACACCCTGGGAAATGAGCCAGATACATTTGTCTGATGCTTATTTCACTGGGAGGGAACTTTCAAAGGATAAGTTTTGTAAAGAATTCAAAATGAGACCTAATTTATTCTTTTTTTCCAAAACATAAAGCCAATTCTTTGATATTTCTACTAGCTATTAAAAAATCAAAGCCATATTCCATTTTTAATCTTAAGACACTTATCTCTAAACAAACAAAACAAAATCTATATAATGGCACAGGTTATGAATGGCCACCTGAGAAATGGGTTACAAGTGTCTAGTTTCTCAAGAAGGACGACGTGTTTCTCAGATGCGGTCTAGTGAATGTGTTGCAGGAATAAAGGCACATAAATGGCATTGTGGAGGAAGAGTGGCAGAAGAAACAAAGAATTCCAAAATGATTCTGAAAGATTTTGACTCAAAAAGAAGACCAAATATTCTTATATTTTTGTATCATGTCTTTAAATTTATTTATCTGTGTAATATATTTGGGTATTTTAACAATAACACATTATACTCTATAATTACTTATGTTCATGTTAACTTTAGTCTTTATAAAGACCAAACCAAATCCTTGAATTATTAGAAAAAGAAGCCACATTCCAATAAAAATAAAGAAACTACTCTCAGATTTAGTTGAATATGGAAAGCATTCTATATTTAAGACAGCATGATTTCTCTCTTCAACATTTAATCTAGAAAAATGAATAATCCTTTTGGCATCAATTATACAATTATATAAGTAATATTTCAATGACTGAGATATACTAAACATACTATCTGGAATTACCTTAAATATTTATGTTGATGTGATTGCCTTCAGGGTTCTGTACACTTAAAGCGCTTGTTTCTGTCACGCTTTAAGTTCAAAATCTTGATCATTTTTCAGAGTATACCTCAAATATCCCCTTCTCCTCCTGGTCTTGTCCATTGAGGCTTCAAGAACTCTTTACACCTCATGATTCATTCGCCCACAGAATACAGACATGATTTCTGATTTTATGCAAGAACACTGTATGTTCAACTTACATCTTTTTAAGTTCATGGAGAAGGGGATATTTGAGGTATACTTCGAAAAATGATCCCCTGTTCTCCAGTCAGAATGAGTTGCTTATTTCTCTGAGCAGTCATCATTGTGTGTCCCTCCATTATCTCATAAACTTAAAACAACTTATAACCATTGTTACAAGTTCAGATGTTTCTCCCATTTAGCTGCAAGCTTCTTAAGAGCAGGACCATCATCAGGCCCCTATTCCTCTCAACACATATCTGACACTCATCCGTTCATTCATCCAACAACAATTTATTGCATTCCTACTGTTTGATACTGTGGAATAAACAGTAAGGAAATACAGGAAAAATTAACAACTAAGTCTTCATGTCATGGGGAGAATTTTCCAAGCCAAGAAAGCTCTGAAAAAAAATGAGAATAAAAATATTGCTACAGACCAGATTTACTAAAAGCATTAACAGAAGCCTTGTATCACAGAACTGATGTATTTTTATAGCCAGTGTATAGGCTTCTAAGTTAAGGATCTCTCTCTTGTACTACTTTGACCATTTTATGTGATCTGAGACTTCTGTGGTTTGTATATAAAAAGCTGGTAGGCTCAGAGTGAGTGAAATAAATCTAATCAATGTTTATTTTCAAAAGAAAACATGAATTGGCAGTAAAAATTTAGAGGGAGGAAAAAGGCAGAAACTTTGTTTTCATGGTAAAGGCCTAAAGTCCAACTTGCAACTCTCAGGCTAACTACATGAATTCTTGGAAAAGAACTTGTTTCCTTTTGAAACTTTCCATTAAAACAAAACATATTGCTATCTCAATATATATGTTACACTTAGATTTATTTCAAATACCATTTTTTGTATGCACTCTTGAGATACTAGGTTTCCTATTTCTTTAGCATAAATTAAATTCAATTTTTCAGAGCATATGTGCCAACTTAAAAAAATTATCATTGTCAAACAATTTCTGATTGGGCAATTTTAACTTGATATTATGCTCCATTCTATTCTCCCAGGTCTTTCTCAGTGCCAGACCCCCTGGTCTTGTCCATTGAGGCTTCAAGAACTCTTTACATCTCATGATTCATTCGCCCACAGAATACAGACGTGATTTCTGATTTTATGCAAGAACACTGCATGTTCAACTTAAATCTTTTTAATTTCCTGAAACAATTACCTTCACGAAAGCTAGTCCTCTTCTTTACCAATGTTTCAGAATCACAGAAAGCTATTAATGATTAACATTTCTGTATATATGTCTAACTTGCCCTGTCACATTATTGTTTGGTTTCCAAGAACTTCTCCTCTAATCTCTCATTGGCCACTATCTCTAAGATTTTGCAATCTTTTCCTGAAAAGCCTGTCACTTCTTTCATACCTGACCACTGATGGAGCACAGATAAGTCTCCCTCCCCCATTCACTAGAGAATTCAACAACACTCTGTCTTAGGTGGGGACTGACTCTGTTGCCCTTACTCAGGATCCTTATCAGCTTTTATTATTTTGTTTGTTTGCTTTTAGAGATGTGATCTCACCATATTGCCCAAGCTGGCCTTGAACACCTGGGCTCAGGGATTCTCCCACTTCTGCCTCCCAAGTAGCTAGTACTACAGGTGTGTGCCACTGTGCCTGGCTTTCTCATCAACTTTCAAAAAACTCTAGTCCATTTCCATTTTTAAGAGTAGGGCATACTGGATCACTGAATCTATTAATTTCCTTCCTTCCTTCCTTCCTTCCTTCCTTCCGTCCTTCCTTCCGTCCTTCCTTTCTTTCTTCCTTCCTTCCTTCCTTTCTTTCTTTCTTCCTTCCTTCCTTCCTTCCTTCCTTTCTTTCTTCCTTCTGTCTGTCTTTCTTTTTGTTTTTGTTTTGTTTTGTTTTTTTGAGACAGAGTATTTCTCTGTTGCCCAGGCTAGAGTGCAGTAGCATGATCTCACCTCACTGCAGACTCCACCTCCTGGGCTCAAGCCCACCTCTTGCTCAGCCCCCCAAGTCACTGGCAGATGCCACCGTGCCCAGCTAATTTCTTTATTTTTTTGTAGAGAAGGGGTTTCACCATGTTGTCTGAGCTGGTCTCAAACCCTTGAGATGAGGCAATCCGCCCACCTTGACTTCCCAAAGTGCTGGGATTCCACGCATGAGCCACCATGCCTGGCCTCTATTAATTTTCAAAACATTTCATTTAAAATGTCAGATTAATTCTGAAACCAAAAATACTCCATGAGCTATCAGTACGACTCTACAGATTTAAAAAATCCCCAGTATAGTAGAGCCTAAAACATTCCAACATGGTATCAGCCCTGCTGAATTCCAATCCTGGCTCTGCCACAGATTGAGCAGGCTTGAGCCATTTTTTTCTGGATCTCTGAGCATCATTCATCATTCATCTCTCCAGACATTAGTTATCTATTCATATTTATCAGTCATGTGCCAAGATTATAAGAGTGAACAACGCAGTCACAGTGGTTTACTAAACTGGCTTTCTAATGAGCTGTTACCTCATCTTTATAACAGAAATAATACCCATCTTGTAGGGTAAAATTAAATGAAGTCAAACATGTAACACATGTGGAAGTCAATTAATGATAATGTTTATTATCCAGTACTTAACACAGTGCCTAGCACGTAGAATCTCAAACCATATTTGCTTCATTCATTTATGTATTCATTATTCCTGTCTCTACCCATGGTGCCTCACCACCTCTACACCACCCACCCACTACTTGCTTGTCCCTGAAGGTATCCTTCTCATTAAGTCTCCCAGCTGAAATCCTTCAAGGTGAGATAACCTTTTCAAACCTGACCAGTACAGTTCATAGGAAGCTACACCTCAGCCAGAGTTATTTTGGAAGCTATCTCTGAGGCCCCTGCACAGCCAAAAGAAAAGCATCTACAGTTCATGGCAAGTCATTTACTACCCAGAAAATGCCTGGATTTTCTTAATCCATTTGTTTATTTTTCCCAGGTAATCACTTCAAGATGAAAATGATGCAGTATCTCCCATTTTATTGATGAGAGGATTCCCCCCCCCATTGGAGTTGCTCAAAGAATCTTCATACATTGTTAATTAAAACAATAATAATAATTTAAAACATCTTTATTTAAATCTACTTTCTATGAAATGGATCCACTCTCAAATATACAGTTGTTTGTAGTTACTAGCTCACAGTCTGAAAACTGAAGGATATTTTATAAAGGCATTTGTGTGCTGAAGTATCAATATAAAGTGTAACTCTGGAAAGACCATAACATTTAACGCTGTATGTATTTGTTTCTAGACACCGTGAGAAGTTGTGTAGCAAAGTTGTTCTTCACCTGCTCCCTGAAGGGTCATTACTGCCTATACAGTAAGTCCAGTTTTATTCTCATCAGTCAAGAACCTCAGCCATGGATCCAGATCATGTTTCTATTTCAGCAGGTTTGTATAATTTGTGTTCATCAGGTTCTTTAATGAGCCTGTGGGATATGGGCGTATAATCACTTTTATTGAATTATTCTTTGGCCAGAGTTGATATGTAGATAACAGCAATACATACATATTTCATTAATAATTTTAACCTCTTTTTTATATTTTAGGATAGTTTCCTTATAAAAGAAGGAATTATTAATCAGTTAGCCAAACATACTAATATCTTAAATATCCTTAGCTTTATAAAAGAAGAATGAAAGGGAAAATATCTTTGGTTAAACAACAGCAAAAGCAGCGTATTTGGGAGAATAGCTTCCCTTATGTAGTAGTGCTAGCCTTGATTTGTCTAGAGTCTTCCAATCTCCAGTTAATGTTAGTGTTAGTATATTCTTTTTGACATTGTTAAGATACTAGAATGTCTCTTTTTTTCTGTAGAATATATGCACATAGGTGAAATTATGTAAAGAGCAACTTACAACTTGAGAATGAAGAATTTGATGCAGAGATGTTAGCATCAAAAGAGATTCTTATTTGAAAATAGTTATCTCAGATGCACTAAACTTTCATGTAAAATTTGAACATAGATTATAAAATGTTAGTAGTAGAAGGAATCTTAGGAATCATTTTTACAGATAAGAAAACTGAAGGGCAGAACTCAGATTATCTGACCCCTGACCCAGTGATCTTTTTGTTGTCATACATATGTTGAAAAATAACGTATTTTTATTTTTAAAATGCATTATTTTATGCAGCTAGAAGCAGGGAGGGCAAAGGCAGAAAAAAACAAAATGCAAATGTTATAACATGGCTGAAAAGCCAAATGATATGACACTTTATTTACTTCTGTTAATAAAATATTTTCATAATAGCTCCTGTAAAAATCACCAAAGAAGACAGTTGTATTTCTTTATAAAATAAAGTCAGGCTTATTGGAAAATAATGAATTTTAATGCTGAATACATTATAATAATAAAGTAGAACTATGGTAATTAAGAAAAGAGACAGATTGGATATGCCTTAGGAATACTGTTTTTTTCTAAAACGCGTCTTCTTATGAACATTTAATAACATCTCATAGAGAACAACTCACATTTTGGTGTGAACCAAATTGTACGTGAATACAAAAAACAGCATTGACTGTCCCTTTTCTTGAAATAACGGCCTTATTTTTCTTCTCTTTTGCTTATATTTTTCACTTAGTTTTCATCAGTGATTTTATATTTGGTTTCATCTTTGGCTTTGTTCTAAACAGTTGTCAGTTTTCTGAAAACAAACCAAGAAATCTTGATGGGTTTTTTTGCCCCTCAGTATTATTTTATTGACTTTGTCTGATTCTTTGTCTTTCTCTTTAAACAAAATCACCAAAAAGCATCTGTGTATGCTATGTTTCTTCTGTGTTCATTTTACTGTAATGATTTCTTTGTTTTTTCACACTTATGATAATTGTGTCATCTTCTGCCTGAATTCTGACTTTGGGGTAAATAAAAATCAAACTTTGACTTGATATTAATAATTACAACCTGGCACTACTCTTGTGCATTGGGCCAAACTCTTTGCCTTTTCTGTCAACTGCACACATTCATACAGTTCTCAAATTCACAGACTCCAGTCTAAATGCTTCTGTTTAGATTGATGATTCATTAAATCTGGTCCTGTTCTTTAAATGAAAAATTGGGTGCTGCATCAGTTTTTGATAATAATCAATAATTTCTCAGATATATCCACATTATGGGTTATGTAATTTATCTATTGCTGGCCCTTAAACTTTTTAAATCTGTGGATCACTAACTTGAGCATTAAGATCCTCCATCTTTTTCCATTCAGTACGAGAAATAGTTCATTTTGATGATAATAATAAAATTTTTCTGGAATAGTATTTATTAATCTTCATTCACTAAATAGAAGGTTTGTACATACAAACCACTTAGTCTTATACATCAGTGCTTAGACAGTCATTGACGTAAAAAGAAGATATGATTTCATAAGCTAATCTCATTATTTTATTATACATTATACATAAAGGATCCTATGTATCACACTGTATGTACGTAAATGGTATTTTATACCTTTATAGATGTTCTATACATTTTCTTAAAAATTGTTTCTTTGAATTGAAAAGCTTCTTACATTTATAGGTATAACACTATCATATGTGAATGATTATTAGACATATCACTGATTAGTAAATATACAAACACAAGTTAAAATCTTCCTTTGAAAAGTTTATTTTCATTGGCTTGAATGAAATACATGTAAATGTGATTTTCTTTATGTTCACATTCTTATTGCTCAACACTTAGAGAATTTATCTGAAAGCTTTAAGAATATTCACCCATTATACATTTTAGAATTAAAACTATTTTTCTGTCCCCAACATACCCACTCCTACTGTTCATATTTGATTAATTTAATAATGAACTTAGTTGTTTAATTTCTATTCTTCGTGATCTACTCTGTATAAATATACTTGATTTTTGTGCTCTACTTTGATTTTATTCCTTAATTCCCAGATCTTTGAGAAAATAAATATGAATACATTAACCATATTCCAATTAAGGAGCATCTTTGGGAAATCACTGAGATAAACACTATATTACAAAGGTTAGGCATACTTATGGCTATCATTATCAACTGCCTTGAAAATACTATGAAATAATTTTAAATTTCTGTTAAAAAATGAAATCCTGAAATATATCATATGTTTGATCTTTTTTCGTTTAATTTTTTTTTTTTTTTTTTGACAGAGTCTCACTCTGTCTCCCAGGCTGGAGTGCAGTGGTAGGATCTCGGCTCACTGCAACTTCTGCCTCCCGGGTTCAAGCAATTCTCCTGCCTCAGCCTCCCAAGTAGCTGGGACTATAGGCACATGCCACCACGCCTGGCTAATTTTTTGTATTTTTCGTAGAGACGGGGTTTCACCATGTTAGCCAGAATGGCCTTGATCTCCTGACATCGTGATCCACCCGCCTCAGCCTCCCAAAGTGCTAGTATTACAGGCATGAGCCACCATGCCCGGCCTCATTTAATTTTTTTAAGAGAGGTAGGGGTCGTGCTATATTGGCCAGGCTGGTCTCAAACTCCTGGTCTTAAGCAATCCTCCTGCCTCAGTATCCCAAAGTGCTGGGAATACAGGTTCATTCACCACGCCCAACCCCCATATGTTTGATCTTTAAGACAGATCTTTTTCTTGTTTCATTTAAATTTGAATCATGTTAAAGTTCAAACCAAGCCTAAACAGTGCCTTGAAATCAATCAAACAATACTATTGAGACAAGACATAGTATATTCTGTTTCTGTCTTTAATGCCCTTTCAGAGCCTGTTTCCTGAACCCCTGTCCATTCAGAGTCATTCTGTGCAATTTCTCAGAGCCCTGTGGGAGAAGACCCAGGCAGGGGATGCTCACAGCTTTGAAACAGCCATGATGGAGTCCACGTTTCCGCAGCAAAAGGTAAATGTTCCTTTCCTTGGCCATGTTACAAGCCAAGATTTAAGATTGTCTTGAAACAGTTTTCCTTTTTTTTTTTTTTTTTTAGCAATTTAATTTATTCCTTCTTTCCTTTACCTTTTTTTTAATTATTATCAGAAAACCCTTATAAGTAATTATTTTCACGTGGTACCATAGTGGATTCAGAATAGAGTGGTACCAGTAAACAAGGACATTGCCCTTTGAGGTCTATATACTGACACAATATGGTTCCTTAGAACCACACAATAACTGCATGCATACTATGAAATAGAAAAGATTTTACAATTGGGTGTGGTGACTTGTATCTGTAATCCCAGCTACTCAGGAGGTTGAGGCAGGAGGATGATATGAGGCCAGTAGTTCAAGATTAGCCTAAACAACTTAGCAAGACTCCATCTTAAAAAAAAATTTTTTTTTAATTAGCCAGGCATGGTAGCACATGCCTGTAGTTCCACTACTCCTTGATCTTGGTCTTCCCAGCTCCAGAACTATAAAAAATAAGTTTCTATTATTTATAAATTACCCAGTCTTAGGTATTTTTTTATAGGAGCACAGTGACTAAGAAAGAAGGCCTGAACTAAAGTTAGAAGTTATAGGAAGATTGGAGAGCTATTAAGAAAGTCAAATTAACAGGACTTACAGCCTATAAGAAAAACAGAAGAATCCAGGATGACTCCAGGTGCATTGTTTGGCTAACTGGATGATAATATCACCCTGAAAATGAGAAATCACAAAGTAATCTGATGGAACACAAGAAGATAAAGCATTCTGGTTTACATATGTTGAATCTAAGCTGTTTATATGACTAACCAGGTGGTGGTGGTGGTTAAATGCCAATGTGGGCTTCAGGAAGAAAGCTTTGACTGGAGATATGGATTTGGGAGTCACAAGCTAGCACTTAGTGTCATGGCAGAAGACTGGATTGCTCAAGGGAAATATGTATACTGAGAGAAAAGAATGGTTATTAATCTCTTCTAGTAAATATTATCAGCTTCTCTCTTTTAGCCCTTCCCAAACTCAAATATTCTGATTATTCTTATTTTGACTTTTAGATAACCCAGGAATAAGTATTCGATGCTTACTGAGCAAACCAGATGTTCTGCGAGTATATAATCATGGTGTCTGTCCTTGTTTTACTGTTGAAAAGGGAGACAAGCATGCCAATATTAAACAAATTCATAGTACAAACGAGTAGCAAATTAAGTACTCCAGAACCGGTCTCTTGTGAAACTAACAAAGTATCTTTTAAGTGATGAAGAATTCTGATAATATGAAAAATGAGCATAATTAATCAGAAGTTTATTTGTAATGGTCTGTAAGACACTAAAAACCCATCAAACTATTGCATCACTGCTTTTTGGATTGGGTTTAGGAATTCAACGTGCAGTATTAAAAATAAAGGAAATGCCACAATTGCTTCAGTGTGGAGTAAAATGGAATTCTTTGCACATTTCATTCAAATTTTCAACTGTTGCATCATGTTTGAAGACAGTGCCTCAAGTTCTCATAAATTTTTCATTGCTAACTGTATTTTAACTAGAGGCAACCAGTAAATTAAAACTTGGCAGGCTGTTTCAAATCCTAAGAGATTAAAAAAAAATACTTGGAAAACTACTTTTGTGCATACTCACAAGTATACTTATTCACATTTCTTGTATTCCATGCTAATAAACATTTCTCTAAGGGAAAATTAACTGTAAATCAAATTTAAAAATTTTTAAAGTTTTATAATTTGGTTTGTTCATGAGTAATAGAAAAAAACTTTGATACCTGCAATGTACATTGTGTGGCAAAATTATCTGCCCAAGTATTTCTCAGGTACTTTTTTCCTATTTTTTATGAAGTATTCTCTGTACTAAGTTCAAAATAGTTAACAGAATGATGCAAAGTCTGCTTTATTTTCACAATACGTGCCATATAGACATACATTAGTGATTTGAAAGAGATGGCCATGTGCGTATCAGCTGCAATGACGGAGTTTCACTGCAGCGAAATGGATTCAGGTACACAATAAAGAAAGAAGAAATTCCTAATGCCTGAGTATCTAGAATATAACATTCTGGACAATATGAAGAGAAGTTTCTTATTGTGGTTGCTTTTTAACAGAATCTTGGAATTTTGGAACTAAAAATTATCAGTGAGATATCTATTAAATTGCAAACTGCTTGAGGGCAGGAATTTTGCCATATTTACCGTTGTATTGCCAGAGCTACACAGTGCTTGGCACACACTAGGCTCTCGTTAAATAATACGTATCAATTGAAGAAATTTAAAAATTCTGTCATTTTCTGGATGTTAAAATCAGAAGCAAAGGGACCTGTTGAAGGTCAGTGGCAGAGCTAGAACTGATACACATACACTTGCGATTTCAGGGTTGTCACTAATGAATCTAGTACTTCCCTCCTCTGGGCCCAGGAGAGGATCACATTTCCGTGTCTACTGAAGCAAGGCCGGTCATGTGACTTGATTCGGCCAATGAAATATGGGAGGGGATATGTATCACTCCAAGAGGAATCTTTTAAAAGCCAGTGTACTATTCTTTGCAATTCCTTTTTTCCTCTACCATGATAATGATGATTGTAGGAGCAAATGTTGAAATTGAGTTGCCAGAAGATGAAAACAGGCTGGAATTCTGAGCCACCACACGGAGGGCTTCTGCTCTAGAGAGCTACCCAGTCCCACCACACATTTTGTATGAGAAAGAAACATCTGTTGTTTTGTTAGAAACTGAATTTTTGGTATTAGTTATAGCAGCATAACCTGCCTTTCTTAATTCATACACCTACCAGAGTAGTTAAGCATGTTAGCTCTGAATCACCTCGCTTTAAAATCTGGCTCTGCTCCTTACCAGCTCTGTGTCCTTTGTCTCTGTGCCCAGTTTCTTTACTTGTACAATGGAAATAATATTAGTACCTACCTCATAGCACTGTTTTGAGACTTGAGTGAGTCAGTACATACAGAGCTCTCAGAACAATGGCCACACATTGTGATCTCTCAATAAATGTTAGCCAATATTCTAATCCCTAGCCAGCACTCCACCTGAAATAACACAAATTCAAACCCGTCTTGCATGAATTAAGGGAGGTTCAAAGTGGAGGTAGGAAGATGAACCTGACTGATAATCTCTCAAGTTATTGTACTCTGCTACTTTGGTCAGACCAACATTACCAGAAATGTTTTCCAAATTTCAATCATGAATTTTCAGTATAAAATTCAATGAAATTCGGCCAGGTGTGGTGACTCATGCCTGTAATCCCAGCATTTTGGAGAGCCGAAGGGGGCGGATCACCTGAGGTCAGGAGTTCAAGAGCAGCCTAGTCAACATGGGGAAACCCCATCTCTACTAAAAATACAAGTATTAGCCAGGCATGGTGGTGCATGCCTGTAATCCCAATTACTTGGGAGGCTCAGGCAGAAGAATTGCTGGAACCCAGGAGGTGGAGATTGCAGTGAGCCGAGATCCTACCACTGCACTCCAGCCTGGGAGACAGAGCAAGACTCTGTCTCAAAAATAAATAAATAAAATAAAATAATAAATAAATAAGTTCAATCAAATTATCTTTTGCAAACTATATATCAATCTCACACAGGCATCAAAATGTGGAAATGCTTATGTAATATAATGCTAAAATATTTTTAATGTATAAAAATAAAAGTTTAATATTAGTGAACTTAGTAAAATGCATGAATTCAATAGTTCAAATTTTTAAAACTTATCACTTACATGACATTTGATAAAATCCAACAATCACTTTACTCACACACAGTTTGTATAAAAATTGTATTAATGTCTGTGTCCCTAATTAGATTGGATTTCCATGAGAACATATGCTTGTCATTGTACACCCAGCACCTAGAGCATCTCCTGGCATACTGTTGACACTCAGTGATATGTGTTGACTGAATAAAGTGAGTGAGCACTTTTACTAACCAGCAATGGAAAGATGTGTTCTTAGCATGATAAATATTTGTCTGATAACAAAAGAAAAACTATGCCTAGCGGTGAACAACTGAAGATGTTTTTATTAAACAGTGAAATAAAACCAGAATATCCAGTATAATCTTTATAATTTAGTATTGCTCGAAAGCATGAGCCAACTTGAGAATATAAGCTCCATGAGAGCAGGAATCTTGTCTGCTTGTTCATTACAGAATCCAGGATATCTAAAGAGTGTGCCTGGCTCATACTAGGCATTAAAAATAATAATAATAACAAATAGAAAACAACACAGAAATAAGGAGTATGCTATTTGAAATAAGAAGATAAATTCAACATTACTTGTAGTTAATATTAAGATAAAAAGAGCACTATTAGAATTAATAATAATAATTAACTTTACTGGGCATTTAGAATGTGCCAGTAATTATTCTGTTCATTTAATATCAATTATTTCACTTAATCCCAACGATAACACTATGAGATAGACAGCATTATCATTATCATCTTACAAATGAGTAAACTAAGTAGAAGAAAGATTAATTTTCTCAAAGTCACAGAGCAATGGAGAGAAATAGACTTGAATGAACAGTGATATTACCACTTTCCTGATTGGAAATAGTAAATATTACAAAAATGTTAATACTTCCTTAGTTAATTAGCACTTTAACTGAGTTCCAATTTAAATTCTAAGAGAATTATTTTTTATCTCTTATGAAGTGATGGTAAAATACAGCCAGAAGGATACATAGGTGAGACTAGTTTGAAAATTTTTGAGAGGGGCTAAAAAGAGGACATTGCAAAACATTAAAGCATACTATAAAACCTACAATTATTAAATTACTCTACTTTTATGGAAAGAATTAATGCAGATAAATGGAACAGACTAGTCCAGAAACCAACACAATTATATACATATAATCAGTTAATGTATATATACAATTGTTTAACTACATGTGAAACAAATCCTTTTGAAAAAGCCTACATAAAAGAGCATGATATCAAAATCCTAGAGCTAAATTTATACATATAGAAAAAAATGTAA